CTTATCTGACTTATTTTCTTTTTATAGATCGTCCTGTATAGAGTAAAGTTATTAACTACTCTCTTGAGGGCAATTCTCAAATGGAGCAAATATTTACGTTACCAGTTAAATTTAGAAATGATTAAAATAATGCTACGAAAAATGCGTTACCAAACAAAAAATAAAATAATATGAATGTTTATCATCAATATCTAACGAAAAGTTTATATAATGATAAAACCACCTCTCTCGCCAAATATTTTGGAGTAATAAAATACTAGTACTAAATATAGTAGCTTTTGAATATTACTCTTTTAAACAATTACGCATACATACGACTTGTTTTCACGTACTGTATATTTGTTTTCTAATAAAGTAGTAGGTATGTAACCTGCAATACTGATCAAAATACTGACACGGTTGCCTATACTTATAATTAAAAAACATTCTGGAAATTCTTAGAATTGTTTACGGAAAATTAAATTAATTTTAAAGCAAAAAATATGTAGGTGATTACAAAAAAACAAAAAAAAAGACATAGATAACCAATGAATTCCCAATAATCATGACAACTTTAAATGTTTAACGCAGTCGTTTTATATAATTGGGATAGCAAATTGATGCACTTCATTAGTTTACTATAACATTCGTAACGCATTTGAAGAATTAATATAAGATTATACAGAACTTTGTAGTAGCGTAATTCTAATTAGTCAAAATAAGATTAAAATGCACCCAATTTTCTTCTGCACAAACAATTACCCAATAAGATAAACATTAGACCAAATAAATACAACGCAAAAATCTAATTATAATGGTTAATTTATGCCGGCTAACACGTATGTGTAAAGCGTGGATCGCAATTTGCCTGTAGGTACATACGTAAGCAAAAAAGACTTACCAGTACAAGCTTTGGTCTCTTTTAATTTCAACGACTTTTTCTGAGTTAAAGCACGATTTGAGGCACGTTTGTTGGTCATCTTGGTATATCAATATAATATATGTTATAATAATTTTAAACAAACAATAACAAATGTACATAACAAACTGAAACCACCATATTGTATGACGGCGACGCTGCTGCTCTTCACTGAGCAACTGTTTACAGCTGATTATACATAGCGTTGTATATGGGTTATGTACATATTGCAATATATAATGTACAAATAAATAATTGGTAAAAGTGATTCTTATCGCCTTATCTGCAATTTCTCGCGAGGCGTGAGATAAGGTTTTTTTTAAATTTGGCAAGGTTTACACATTCCGCGAGCTTTTGTTTTGAACCTAGTTCAAGTTAAATTTAACCATATAATTAATGTTAATATATGATAAACAAAAACTGTATTACGTAAATGTACCGAAAACAAATAAAAATTACACTCATTCTTAATCCAGCCATGTAAAAATTTCACAATAATTTATACAGTGAGGTACCAATCTGATGATAAATAACGAGGTTACAATCAAAAAAATTTTACCCATATAAATATCTTACGCAATTGTACTCAAACAAATTAACAAATTACATAATTGTCATTAATTTAACGATATNTCTATTCTATATATGTAACATTTACGGAATATTTCCTTATAACTAAATATACAAAAGCGAAAGAAATTCTATAAAAAAAACTAATTCCTAGATTGTGACGTTCGGGGAAAATGTCAACTAAATCTGTAAGAGAACAAAACTACAGATTTTTTTGAGTAGAGAGCACCTAAAATAAGACCTTACTTTCTCCAAATCGAAATCTGATGAAAAACTTTTGCAAAGGCGGGAATGAGCCGAGTTATTTTGAAGTTAATGATAAACAACGATATAAACAATAAATAAACGTTTACAGCTCCCAATAAAAGTCATAAAGGAAGGTGTTGTATGACAGATAACGATTGCATATCTTACAAAATTGTAAAAATTAAGAAATGAAGAAAACACTTGTTTATTTTTCCACTAATCAAACTATTCAAAAGGATAACTCAATTTGATATCTAGAAATAAGTTTATCTAATAATGTAAAAATGCACGAGAGATATTTCGATCAAATAACAGTGGATGTGCTAACAGCCGAATCTAATGAACATGATCATCAGAGCGTAAAAATGCAATCAAGGACAAAATGGTAAAATTTTAATTCCTGTTTCATATAAACTGTTGATGCATCGAATAATTGTAATGCATTCGCTTGTTTTGTGAATTAACGGAATAAATTATTTTGACAAATTAAGGGTTCGTTTCCATTCGCGTCACACTGGGGATGATATAAATTCCACGCTTGTTAGCAAATCCAAAAAATTGTCGCTCCAACTGCTTGATAATTCTCTGAATGACAATTAATTTTAAGTTTCATAAAAAATATATAATATCGATAAATAATTCTCTAATAACAAGTAAGGTAGGTACTTGGATAAAATCAAATATAATTGAGAAATGGATTAGACGTACTTAGCAATTAATTAACGGCATATCAAGGATGTGTTAATTAACTTCAAAAAATATAATCCAGTGTCGATAAAGGATCTTATAGAACACTCCTTTCCGACAAAATGTGCGAGTTCATCGACATGTAGAGAGAAATAGTATATACAAGGTTCTTAATTAGAAACTGCGAAAAAATGAATTTTTGCCATTAGTTTTTGGTTTAGAAAATACCGAATACATTTCAAAAACGATGTAAACAATGAAGACACGAATAAATTTTACGAAATAATAGCAATTATGGACGAGGTCAGTACAGTGACGTCTATTCAAATAAACCGGTTGCCAAAAATCGTAATGAACCTCTCCAATTTAAATTTCAAAAGTTACAATATTGTACATTGACACAGGTATACGGCGCTATCGCCACACATTCAAAGTATTACACTATTATAATTAAGCAAAAATCCAGTTTTTTTGAATTAACGTAAATGTGTACAACTGTTTTTGTAAAATAGCAAATTAAGTCTTGATCGTATTTTTCAGCTAATTAATCATCCAAATCTCTTGTTTTTTGTTTTGTTTTTGTATAATTTGCCTAATGGGCCCAATAATAATCATATACGTATATACAGAACTACGCTAGTGTAAGTTTTCTTTAATTTTTGAAACAAAACTATAATATTATTCACGACTGCAAGAGTTAATTAAAAACTGTTAACAAAACCTTCATTAGGATGAACGAAAATTAACACGATTCAAGGACAAATGCGTTAAAATCTAATAATGGCGTCGGGATCATAATTTTTTTATAGATCTATTTTAATTACTTTGTGTTATATCATTCCTATAAACTTTAAAACATTTCAAATTCACATCGTGGTGGATATGTACCAATAACTATGTTTCAGAGTTCATAACGATTCGTAGTTTTATTAGAAGACTTTTAAAACCTAAATTCGCTGTGGAGTTTACATTTTTTTTTAAGTTTTACGAAAATGATTTATAAATTTTTATTTATCGCCATTACTATCCGCTTAGCTTTTAGTCGATATACGTTACAAAATAGATGAAAAGTCCTTTTATTTTAATGGAATAAAAACAGCCCACGTCTACCCTAAATGTTACCGAAAGAACTTTTAAATTTTTTTCTTCAATTACATATAAACTATCATTATTCATATATTGAACAACGACGAAAAAATTCAATGTTTACAACAATTTTACTCCTTAATGTAAACAAGATCATGGATAAGCAAGGTCATCAAACGTCTTGTAAATAGTAAATAATCCAGAATCTAGGCAATAAAATTGCATCTAATTATACATTCTTTTTTCATGTAATTATTACGTCTCTAAATCAGATAAGTAAGTATGTGTATTTACAGGTAGTTGCAATAAGCAAATGAAGACAAATATCGCATTTTCTGGGTTATCAAGATACTTGCCTGTATAATATTTCCTTCAGGTGAGTGACAGTTTTTTCATCATTTATATAATACATAAATAAATAATTAATCAATCAAGTCCGAGAATAAACTGTTACCTGTTGTTTTTTCTATTTCTGTTTTGCGTGGTATCAAAAAAGAAAATCGAAACAAATTCTATTATTGTTTGTTACACGTATTTATGTAATAGATACGAAAAGACAGTTAATTAAACAGACACATACATTTTGACCTTTATCCCCTGTTTGTTGCCTATCACTGTCATTAACCTTGATAAGAGTGCAGACGGTGGTTATATGTAAACATTTATTACAAAAACCGCTTAACACATCCCTGTATGATTATTTATTAATTACCTATTGATTTTAACCGAAATGCTACTCGAAACCAGCCATGTTAAAACTATTTATACAGTCACGGAATACGTTGTTGATTAATTCCGAAACTTCCGGAACCATTCGGAAGGCCTAAGGCGATAGAAGAAAATCAAAACAGTAACACGTAGGTCACTACCAGAACGCTTTTTAGATCATTTCATACACAATCAACAAACGTTTATCACGAGAGCAAGTCAGAAATAAAAAGTAAGGCATTTACAGTGAACATTAGAAAACAACATGATACAACAATTAATTAATAATAATAATATTACTAGGAATGCTCCGATAACAATTATAGTATACTGTAATTACAAAAAACATCGCCTTCCGATTACGATAACCGTCTCAACGAGCAGAAGAAAAATACCGTCACAGAAGTCACAAGACATATAGTAAAAATTACGAAAAATATTTTGTCACGGACTTCCAGCATGACTACGACGAGTTTGGGTTTGTAATAAAGTTATTTCGAGCAATGACAAGAGAGAAACAAGTACATTTATATTGTAACACGCATTACGAACGAATCGACTTTTATATTACTCAAAATATGCGTTTGTGCATAAAGACGAAAAGAATTCTCGTTTTAAAACTATAAAAATACTTTCACCACATTCACCTGTTGCACTCATTTTTAATGTTACAACGTGAATAAATCAAGACGTTTCAGTTTAGACTTGGGCAATAAAGAAGAAAATGTTTCTACATTTGCCGTTAGCTTCGGGATAAACATCAGGAAACATTTCATAAGACTTTCAGAAGAGCCTTGAACCTTTTATCGCATTTTTTTCTACAATTTTGATTAACAAATATTCGCCAAATGAAGATGGATACCATCACCAATGTTTCGATTCATTCTTAACACATTAATGTTAGATACTTGCGCATACCTTACATAGATTCTTATAGAAAGCTAACGTTTCATTATACCGAATAATTTGAATACCTAAGTGTCGTTTACTGACAAAATTCAGTTCCTATTTTCCAGATGCTTCTACATATACTTAATTTATATCTCATATCAATCACGCATATTTAGTGTTCTGCTGTGCGAGTTTCACCCAATGACTTTTCTCGAAAATCCCACTCTACTAATAATTATTCAAACTAATAAGTTCCGAAAAATAAATTTACATTTTACATAACTTATGTAGTACTGTTCTATATTTATATTATCACCTTAGAAACAAAATTACCAGGCTTTTCCCTATTTAAATTTAGAATGAGCTTTATAGTAAACCAAATAACTGATAACGCCCCTTGTTATCTTTTACAATTTCCCGGACAAAATACATTCGAATGATATAAACGTTTAATATTTCTCAATTGAAAGTGCTAGTACAGAAAACAAAATTGACAAAAGGTCAGGGATCTAAAGTAACGTCGATTCTGACGTCAAATTTTCATGTTATTCAAAAATCGCATAAATTTTAGCCATTTCCATATAGTAATATGTTCAGTGCATTCGTTTATAACCATTTAAATATAACTTTACTTTAAAACCAATAAATAAACCCAGTAAATATCATTAAACGAACTGAATTAGTTAATTAACAAATTAATTATTAGGCATAATAAAATTGTTTTGCTAAAAATCAAATCTAGAATGATTCGTAAGTTCCGGGTCTCGAATCATGACCTACGCCATACAAAACCAAAATAATACATGATACGTAGATACCAAATGGACTTCAAGTTATCCAAGGACGAGCGCCAAACATTTTTTTTTACATTAATTCACACTTTTTGTAATACACTGGCAAATATGAACATTTTTCTTAGAAGAACGTTCATAACAGACAATAATAATAGTCAGCTAAGTTTATAAAGTGCTAAT